TGGTTGCTGGTGGGAGTTTAAAGTTCAACCTCCAAAAAATGTACAACGTTTCTGGAGGATGATTTGGCAAATTTGATAGAAATGTTCAAGGTACATCCAAGAGCCTTCTTCTAGGAATCACATCTGCCGAGATAAAGCACAAGTGCATAAGCCCTGGTCAGAACCCAAGATGCTACTGCGGGATCCCCTTCCACAATAGGAAAACCTGGGAACAACCTGCATTTTTAGGACAAGGTGGCATCTATCAATATACTAATAAAAGGGTAATATGCTAATTAGACCGAACATATTCCGAATGACCTTCTGGACAAAACCATGTTGGCGGGGCAAAGGCAGAGGAGGTTAGAGGTGATCAGGCAGGCAGGGGAGAGCAGTTAGGGGGATCAGGTCGGCAGACAGATGAGTGGTTAGGAGCCAAAGGTCCTTAGGGGTCCCAAATTGGAGAGAGTGCAGGCTGAGCTGAGGGGAACCTCTTCCCATGCATGAATTTTGTTCACCTGGCCACTAGTGTTTAAGATAAGTTTATTTTTTATTTTATTATTTTTTTAATCTTAATAAATCTTTATTGTTCAGATTGTTACAATTGTTTCTCTTCCCCCTACCCCCCATAGCTCCCCTCACCTGGTCCCCACCCCACCCTTTGCCCTTACCTCCCCTCCTCCCCCCCTCCCCCCCAGTGTCCTCATCCATAGGTGTATGATTTTTGTCCAGTCTCTTCTTGTACCCCTCACACAGACATCCCTTTCCCCCTGAGAATTATCAGTCCCCTCCCATTCTATGCTCCTGATTCTATTATATTCACCAGTTTATTCAGTTCCTCAGATTTTTAATTCATACTCCTTTAGCTTTTTCTGATCTGTGAAGCTTTTAATCTGCCCTTCAATTCTGAATGATAATTTTGCTGTGTAGAGTAATCTTGGTTGTAGGTTCTTGCTATTTATCACTTTGAATATTTCTTGCCACTCCCTTCTGGCCTGCATGGTTTCTGTTGAGAAATCAGCTGATTGTCATATGGATGCTCCCTTGTAGGTAACTGTTTTTCTCTTGCTGCTTGTTAAGATTCTCTCTTTGTCTTTTGCTCTTGGCATTTTAATTATGGTGTGTCTTTGTGTGGTCCTCTTTGGATTTCTTTTGTTTGGGGTTCTGTGCGCTTCTTAGACTTGTAAGTCTATTTCTTTCACCAGGTGGGGGAAGTTTTCTGTCATTATTTCTTCAAATAGGTTTTCAGTGTCTTGCTCTCTCTCTTCTTCTGGCACCCCATAATTCTGATGTTGGTACGTTTGAAGTTGTCCCAGAAGCTTCTTAACACTATCTTCAACTTTCTGGATTCTCTTCTCTTCTTGCTTCTGTGGAGGATTGTCCCTTTCCTCTTTGTATTCCAAATCTTTGACTTGTTTCTTGTGTTCTTCTAGTCTGCTGTTGGGTCTCTGTATAATATTTTTTATTTCAGTCAATGTATGTTTAATTTCTAGTTGGTCCTTTTTCATATCCTCAAGGGTCTCATTAAATTTATCGGCCTTTTTTAGGAAATTCTTGAAAAACCTTATAACCATGGTTTTGAACTCTATATCCAGCCTTTTGTTCTCCATTTCTTTTGTTTGAGATCTGTTTCCTTTTCTCGGCATTTTCACTGTTTCCCTGAGTTGGTAGGGTCACTTTGTGGGCCTGGGTGTTCTATATGGTTCAATGGGGCAGCCTCACAGTTGCCTGGTGTGGACACTCTTGGTGCACCCCTTTGTGGACTGTGTGTACAGCCTTGTTCTAGTTAAGTCTTGATTGTTGTTGGTGTCACTGAGAGGAATTGACCTCCAGGCCAATTGGTCTGGGGACCCGCTGTGTCTATAATGGAAGAATTGCTATGCTGTAGACAGGTTTATGGGGAGGACTTGTTCCTGTAGGTCTTTGGTGCTCACTGAGTCTGCCTCTTGAATGTGTTCCTTATGAGAGTAGTTGAAATCTGGTGTCGTCTCACACCGTCCACTAGATACACTAGTTTCTGGATCTCCAATGGGGTGCAGTTCAGCTATTGTCTGAGGCCACCCAGCAGGAGCTACCTCAAGAATTACAAAGTCCCTCTTTGCTTGGGACTTGGCAGTTTTGTTGCTGGATCGGCAATGTCTTTTGTTAAGCTTCCACAATACAAGCCATTTATATGCAAAAGCAGCTGTGTGGTGCCTGGGCGGGCCTGTAGAATGTGCGGGGCGGGTCCTGGGGCGGGTACTCAGGGCAGGGCGGGGTCTCAGGACATCATTAGGCTGGGGCGTGGCAAACAGCGATGGCTGCTGTCAGCCTTCTCTGCCCTTCCGTGTTTCCAAGTCCCCACATTTCCAGGTCCGTGTGTGTGTGTGTGTGTGTGTGTGTGTGTGTGAGTGTGTGTGTGTGTGTCGTCCTTGAGATCCAGCGCAGTAAACAGTGATTGCTGTGCGTACCTCTGCAAGAGAGTCACCCTCACTTTCGGACCCAATGGTCAACAGAACAGCTTCTCCCCGTAGGCGCCTGGGTCCCCCACGTGATCCCAGAAACTGGATTTCAAAGTGATCTGGAGCTTGTTTCCCTTCCGGTTGAAAAAAAGCCGCACAGCCCAGTTGTTCACCACCAGCCTGATTTACATGCCTCTGTACCTAGGCTCCTCAGCTTTTCAGCGCTTGCGCTCCTTTCTCTTTCAGCCAGCCTTCCTGTGTTTTTGGGTGATAGACATCCTGTATATTAGTTGTAGTTTTGAAATTGTTGTGCGAGGCCGCAGACTAGTTGTTTACTTATGCCGCCATCTTGGTTTCTCTATTTAAGATAAGTTTATAAAAGATGTACATATCCCACACTTAATTTGAGTTTGTATAAATGGTGCTATTCATTACTGATTTTTGTATCCTAAGAGCATACCTTGGTATATCAGATCAATTCAGTTTTAGATAAGATTTTACATGAATTAAACTAATAAAAAAATCTTTATTGGCAATTTTCAAAAGGGCAGTGGTATATGTTTATGTAAATGAAATCTGCATAATATATATTCTGACAGCAACTGGGACTGAAGATGCTATTAGCTGAGAACATTAACTTGATGACTTCTGAAAAGATACACAACGGAGCAAAATCAAAAATGTATCTTTTATCGTTGTTTAGCAGCTGTTACCAATCAACATGGAGACTTTGCTTGGGTTTGAGGCACTCTAGGGCAGTGGTCGGCAAACTGCGGCTCGTGAACCACGTGAGACTTTTTGGCCCCTTAGTATGGCTCTTCCAAAAAACACCACGTGCGGATGCTCACGTACAGTGCAATTGAAACTTCGTGGCCCATGTGCAGAAGTTGGTTTTCAGCTCTCAAAGAAATTTCAATCATTGTACTATTGACTAATGAGTTTACTGACCACTGATATAGGAGGTCTGTTAACAACTCTGATTTGTTACACTGCAGTTTTGTCTCTAGATGCTCTCAGTTTTACTGTTGATATTATGGAAGAGTCAATGAATGGCAGATCCCTGTCACTGCCTTCACTCAATTCTACCTCTCAAAAAAGGTTTTTTGTCACCTACATTATTTCTTGGGAAGCAGCAACCTGAAAAACTCATGATTGGTGCAGTTGGTTGATGGATTACCTAGTTGAAGTTAGTTTTTGACAATAATGTATTTTATCAGCATATTTTCTGTTTCTGAATTAAAATGGACATGTTTATTTAAATGTGATTTGGGAACCACCCAGAGTAAGTGGAAATCACTGTAAGGTACATATGTAGCTCTTAATTTTTCATGGTTCAGCATTCTGTCATCTCCTCCTGAGTATTTTTTCAGGTATTTTTAAAGAGTTCTATCTTCTCTCTGTCTGATAGTCTATATATTATTCCTGCCTTCCTTGAAAAAAACTCTACCTCTGCCTTATCTTGTTGCATTCTAGCTGTTTCTTTAAAAAGAAATTCTTTTTAATAGTGTAAAACAAAAATCATTTGTTTATACTAAATCTGTTACTAGTCAAGTTTGTCTCTTATTTCCTAAAATTCTTCTATAAATATTTAGAAGGCCCAGTGCATGGAATTCATGCATGGGTAGGGTCCCTAGTGGTTGCCGGCTGGGGCCTCCCTTCCCTGGTTGCTGGCTGCTGGCTAGAGCCCTCCTTCGTTCTGCGCCACCCCCTGGTGGTCATCGCAAGTCATAGTGAGTGATCAAACTCCCAGTTGGTTGAACTCCTAAAGGGACACTTTGCATATTAAGCTTTTATATATATAGATGATTTTGTTCTTTATATCTTTATCTGTGTTATGTTCTTATTTTCATGGAAATTCCTGGGGAATTTCAAAATTCCTTAAAAGGGATTATCTATGGCAGGCAGTCCCTTGCTGAGCTTATATGTCCTTGCATTTATCAAAAAGAAAATGAATGCCAAAACAGGTTTGTATCAATGGATAGAGCGTCGGCTTGGGGACTGAAGGGACCCGGGTTCGATTCCGGTCAAGGGCATGTACCTTGGTTGCGGGCATATCCTCAGTAGGGGGTGTGCAAAAGGCAACTAATCGATGACTCTCTCTCATCGATGTTTCTAGCTCTCTATCTCTTTCCCTTTCTCTCTGTACAAAATCAATAAAATATATTTTTAAAAAAAGAAAAAAAAAAGAAAATGAGGTTCTTTCTGGCTGAAACATAAAAGAATTATAGTGGAAGGATGATCAGAGATTTATTTATTATTTGCCATATATCCTACATAATAAAAGGCTAATATGCAAATTGTCTCCATGAGTAGGAGTTTGACTGACTGGGAGTTAGATGTGCACTGACCACTAGGGGGTGGTGGCGGCAGGCAGCTGGGGGAAGGGAGGCCCCGGCCAGCAGCCAGCAGCTGCTAGGGACTCTACCCATGCACAAATTTTATGCGCTGATCCAGAAGGGTATAGAAGTTTTTATGTGTGTATGTATTCAATTTCGTGGGCCCAGGAATTGCCCATTGTCCAATCCTCTGACTGTAACTGATCAAGAGAATCAGCTTTTCTCTTTTCCATATTTATCACAGGTGGAGGAGTTACTGATGGCCATGGAGAAGGTAAAGCAGGAACTTGAGTCCATGAGAGCAAAACTGTCCTCTACTCAGCAGTCTCTGGCAGAAAAGGAAACTCATTTAACCAATCTTCGGGCAGAGAGAAGGAAACACTTGGAGGAAGTTCTGGAGATGAAGTAAGTGTTTTTAATTTTATTCTTCATACACGTGCTTATTAGAAGTACTTCTTGTTGCTTTCTTCTTCTGGCCTTGTTTATTAGCCCTGACACACGTAGCTTACATTTAATGCTAACTTGTGTTTTTCACTCCCTAGAACAAATTTGGAACAAATTCTGGTCAAACAGAGTTATTTTTACTTCTCTTCATGGAATTTGAAAGTCCTCTATTGTAAATGTATCTGTATCCAAATCTATCTCTGAAATCTTCTGGAAAGTTTTGGCAAATCGTTGAGCTTATTGATATGAATATTGGTCCTAAGGTCATATAATGCCTAGACAGTTTTTAAAAATATTTCTTTATTATAATCATTTCCAAAGGTATACAAAGGTAAAGATAATAATATAATGAATCCCCATACACCTATCTCCCATATTTAACAATTAACATTTTTTGCACTCACCAGTCAATATTTTTTTATCAAAGATAAATAATAAATATTTTTATTATTCTAACAGTGAAGATTAAATTCTAGTTTCAATTCCATTCTTTCTTATATTTCCAGCATTTATCTTTGATGTATTTTCCATTGAATTTTAAGTACTATTTGGTGGGAAACAAATTCTTATTCAATATATCTTTCCCATAACATGCTGTTTTTCTTTTTTTAATTATTATTGAAAGTATTACCTATGTCCCCTCCCATTGTCCTCTCCCAGCCTGCTCCTGCCTTCACCATCCCTAGCCTTTACCACCCCCTTCATTATCTGTGTCATTGGTTATGCTTTTATGCATACAAATTCTTTGGTTGATTTCTTACCCTCATGTCCCCCTACTGTCTATTCTCCCCTGGCTTTCCTCTGAGGTTTGAAGGTCTGTTCAATGTTTCTGTGTCTCTGGATCTATTTTTGTTCATCAGTTTATGTTGTTCATTATATTCCACAAATGAGTGAGATCATGTGATACTTATTCTTCTCTGATTACCAGTAAATTTTTACAAAATTGTCACTTTTAGTAGAAACCGGTTTGGCTCAGTGGATAGAGCGTCGGCCTGTGGTCTGAAAGGTCCCGGGTTCGATTCTAGTCAAGGGCATGTACCTGGGTTGTGAGCACATCCCCAGTGGGGGGCGTGCAGGAGGCAGCTGATCGATGGTTCTCTCTCATCGATGTTTCTAACTCTCTATCCCTCTCCTTTTCTCTCTGTAAAAAATAAATAAAATATATTTTTAAAAATTGTCACTTTTAGCAAAATTTTGCTGTATATATTTTCCTACTTGCCTCACATCTTGTGGTTTTCTGAGGTAATAATTTTTGCTAAGCATATATACATGTACTAGTACATAATAGATGCTTTTTTTTTTCCTCTCTGACTTTGAAAAATTCTGGTGTCCTCTTCAGAATAAGTATCTCTTTTGAAAGTCCCATAGGACTATCTCCTTTATACTCCCAACCCTCACCCCTACCTAATTATCCTACTCTCATTTTACTGAAACCAAGTCTGTCCTGGGATCCCTCAGTTTCCTTTTTCTCAGCAATTATCTGTATTTGTGTGTGTTTTGTCTTCTGCCTCAGATGAAATATTTTTTCTTCTTCATAAAGCTAGCTTTCTTATCTTTGTCACATATTTTTAAGCACTGGTTCCTCCTCTTAGGTCTTCCTCCATTAATTTCTTTCTCACATAATCTTTGCTCACTTTCTATTGGTTTCTTCTTCTCTTCATAAATATGCAATATTTCTGACCTAATATAAACAAACTTTTCTCAGCCCAGCTAGTGCTTTAAGCTAACATTATATCTTTTTTGCTTCTTTGAAGTATCAATGAATGTTGAATACCAGGATTATAGAGTAGTAGATCTTGCCATCGTACCTTAGTATGAATTTTCATGGCACATGATTATTGTGATGTCATGACAGTGACCCAAGAATTGAGGAAGAACATGTTGGGGTATCACCTGCTCTTATTATGGCCACAGTGCAAAGTTTAGAGATTCTAATCTCTTAGGAAAGTATTGCAGTTGATCTGGGCTTGGAAGTGATAAATATTTAAAGCAGAAATTGATATGCTGGGGGAATAGGGAGAAGTTAGGATTATCATAGCATCATGAGAGAAATGCTTGCAAATATCCTTCTTAGGAGCAATTTAGTGCAAGTGATGTAAGCCAAGTTTTTTGTTATTGGTAATATAACTTGAAGCTTGATATTTTGGAGGTGGAGGAGTAGACATACCTCTTGGATGATAAAAAATAAAGTCATTTTGAACACAAAAGATGCCGAGACATTGAAGCATACAACAGACTTACCTATTTCAGGGGAGAGGGTATGAGGACAGGAAAAGATTAACCAATGGACTTATATGCATTATATGCATAACCCATGGACAGATGATAGTGTGGGGAAGTCCTGGGGATGGTGTGGGAGTAGGGTGAAGGGGGACAGTGAGGGGGGCATCTATAGTACTTTCATCAATAAAGATAAATTTAAAAAGGAAAGAGTAAAGTAATTTCATTTGAAGAGGTCTGGGAACCATTCCTAGAACATGGTAGAAAATAGAGTTAAGAAGAAAATTAAATCAAGGTTTAAAGTAATGAAGAAAATGGAATAAGGATGGATATAATTTGGGGGGAAACAAAGTATCATATGTGATTTTTCTAAACAGAAAATGGTCCTGCTGAAGCAACAGAGTGTGTGTGTGTGTGTGTGTGTGTGTGTGTGCGCGCGCGCGCGCGTGTGTGTGTGTGTGTGTGTGAGTGTGTGTGTGTGTGTGTGTGTGTGTGTGAGAGAGAGAGAGAGAGAGAGAGAGAGAGAGAGAGAGAGAGAGAAGAGTCTTCAAAAAAAAAGCTGTTGGTCCATTTGTATAGAAAACTCTTTGGTAAAACACTACAATAGTCTAGAGTAATCCTGACCTAGTTAAGCCAAAAGGAACGTCTTAATAGTTTTTTTCCATCCTAACATTATGATTATAATTCTTGAGTATCTGTTACAGATAAATGATGGCCTTGATTTTGGGGAGAAGTGAATTTGTTCACTTGGAAGCCTGCCAATGATTATTCAATAGAAACATTTGAGTTGGTTAGCTAGCCCTAAAGAGAAGGAATGTTTTTATTGGCATTTCCCACATTGGTTCTTCTTTTCCTTATGCTGTGGTTTTGTTAGCCATTACTTTTTTATTCCACTTTTATGTTAGCCCCTTTCCCTAAGAAAGAAAGGATGAATGGGAGAAGGGGGGAAATAATAAATGTCTACTCTAATAACCATAATAAATTTTAAGTGTTAATTTAGGTTATGAGCTTCACTATTGAGATTTCTAGATGAGCGGACTCATTTTTTACTGCCCTGAATTTAAACTACTATAGTCTCACCCTATGTTGGCATTACAAATAAAACTTAAAAGAATAATTTTTATTTGGAATACAATTTTTATCAAACTTTGGATTTGACTATTTTTAGAACTGGTTTTTTAGGAGAAGTGGTAGAAGAGCTCTTTAGTTTCATTGAGGATCCAGAGCTGTTTGATAAGTAGCTTCCCATTACTAAACTTGGCAAAAAATCCAAACATCTTTGGGGTAAATTATATACTCTTGAGATGGCTTTTGGCTAAAGAAATATCTAACTTACCACAAACAGAATATGTGCCTAAAAGAGTCCAATAATATCATCTGAATTCTGACATTTAAAAAATTCTTGCCTGTCAAGAGAGAAACATAGAATATGCTTAAGACTAAGAAAGCTATAGAAAATAGTTACTGGGAAAAGTTTAGTCTATTTAGGAATGGAATAATTAGGTGATCAATCTTTTATACCCTGAATAATTAAAACAGTTTATTTTAAATTATTTTATCTCATGATATTCTGCAGTATTTCATTTTAAAATTTATTGTAGAGTTTCTGGCATTAAAAAAAAACCAAAACACCTATTTGTGGATTTATAACAGTCTTTCAAATTAAACACAAAATTGAAAATAGTTATGCAAATTATAGCCTAGTAACAATATAAGAACATCAGTACTTTTTGTAAAGCCACATTTATTTATACTAACATCAAATGTTTTTAGTCATAAGACAAATGATATAGGACTTTTAGTAGAGTTGGAAGAATTTTTCACAGTAACCTAAAATACTTAAAATATTTAAAATAAAGTTTTAAATATTTTATAAGAAATCACATAAATTAATATAAAAATTCCCTACACTTGAATTGAAAAAAGAAAACAAAGTATTATGTAAGGCATAGCTATAAACAAATAACACTAGTGGAACTAGTTATGATTAAAATTATAAAGCAAAATTTGTATGATCTATAATAAACTATCTCTTGTGACTTTGGTATTTGTTCCTTAGTCCTGGTTAACTCTTTCGTTCTGACTCCTCATTTTCTACCCTGATATCTAACTTTTTAATGCTACTCACCTTACAGAATGTGTGATCTCGATTATTCTTAACATCTTTTCCTCATCAGAACTAATAGTTTTAGTTGGAGCTCTGAATTGTTACAGGACAGTGGTATAAATGTATTTATTAAATGTAGTAATTATTAGAGTTACTTACCTCTTCCTAGTTTTAAATTTTGACCATGATCTCAGCTTCTCACAAGATTAGGCATGTGTATTACAAATATTTTTCTCAAATATTTTTATTCCTTATGATCTAAAGTGGAATCAGCCAAAGCCGGTTTGGCTCAGTGGTAGAGCGTCAGTCTGCGGACTGAAAGGTCCCGGGATTGATTCCCGTCAAGGGCATGTACATTGGTTGCGGGCACATCCCCAGAGGGGTGTGTGCAAGAGGCAGCTGGTCGATGTTTCTCTCTCATCGACGTTTCTAGCTCTCTAGCTCTCTCCCTTCCTCTCTGTAAAAAATCAATAAAATATATTAAAAAAAAAAATAAAGTGGAATCAATGACCTATCACTCTAAATATTCCTTGCCTTCCTCCTCCCTTAAACCTAAATCTAGCCCAGCTGGCGTGGCTTAGTGGTTGAGCATCAACTTATGAACCAGGAGGTCACAGTTCAATTCCCGGTCAGG